GACAGTTTCGAGCTACCGCCACAGTGCATCACGATGTTTAGTCAGACAAGTTTCAGAGGACGGCCTACGGAGGATCCCATTGCTCACTTGACTTAGTTCAAGATGCTGTGCAGATCAGTTAGGAAGGCACGAGGAATGACCATCGAGGATGTATCTTGGAGGCCTTTCCTTTTTCACTGATGGATCGGGCAAGAGATTGGTTCTACACCCTTGAGCCGAACTCGATTACGACATGGGAGGAGCAGTTCATGGCGAAATATTATTCCCCAGAGAAGATCCGAGCTGCACAGAGAGCCATACATAGCTTTACTCAGGAGAGTGATGAGAGTCTATATGATGCATAGGAAAGATTCAAAAACTATCAACGCCTTTGTCCACACCACGGCATGGATAAGCGACTATTGCTATCCACATTCATCCACGGACTACGACATGATACCAGAGCTTGGTTGGATGCAGCCTGTGGAGGGAGCGTTTATGAGATTCCCTTTGACACCCTGGAGATTCAGATTGCGAAGATGGACAAGGCTAGAGGGATGTCCAGAGATAGCAATAGACGGCCCATGGCTCAGATAGATACATGAGAATCTGCGGTTTTGAAAGCTGTCATATCTGAGCTAGCGGTTATCAAGCTCCATTTGGAAGCTAAGAGCAGTTCGAATCAGACACCACCAGAGCTAGAGGAAGCAGTGGAGGATGTCAATTATGTTGAGAAAAATCATCTTGGTTTCTCCTATGGAAATCCGAGCGGAGCATTGAATGCACAACAACATGGCGATCCTAGAATCCCTCAGAATCCCCCGGGCTTCACTCAATCACGTTTTTAGGGGCAGAATCAGGGATATGCACAGCAGAATCTAGGATACGGGCAGCAGAATCATGGTTACCGAGCTCCTCAACCTGCAAAGAATGATGAAGCGGACATTAAGACGATGCTTGCCCAGCTAATGCTCGACCAGAAGACATCATTTACTGAGGTGAAAACCGAGGTACAGAGCATAAGAGCTAGGCAAGACACCTTTGAGAGGAGATTAGATGGGATCGAAGCTCATCTGAAGCTTGTCGTTACTCAGATTGCACAGCTTGCATCACAGCCCTCTAGAGAGCAAGGCACATTTCCATGAAAGCCCGAACCGAATCCACGAGAACACGTCAATGCCATTCAGCTTATAAGTGGAGAGAGTCTGCTTGAGACGGTCCCTATTACTACCAAAGAAAAATGGACGACGTCTAGATACATTGCTGAAGAGAAAGGGAAAGTCATAGCTCACGAGACACCTAAGGTGCATGTAGAGGAAGCCGAACCGCCATATGTAGC